GAGGAGGATGTGAAGGGAGGAGGGAGGGGAGGAGGGAGTGAAGGGAGGAGGGAGGGGAGGAGGGAGTGAAGGGAGGAAGGAGGGGAGAAGAGAGTGAAGGGAGGAAGGAGGGGAGGAGGGAGTGAAGGAAGGAGTGAAGGGAGGAGGGAGGGGAAGACGGAGAGAAAGGAGGGAGTGAAGGGAGGGGAGGAGGGTGTGGAGGGAGGAGGGAGAAGAAAGGGTGTGAGAGGAGGAGGGTGTGAAGGGAGGAGGGAGAAGAAAGGGTGTGAGAGGAGGAGGGTGTGAAGGGAGGAGGGAGGGAGGAGGAAGTGAGGGGGGGTGGTGGGAGTGAAGGGAGGGGAGGATGGAGTGGGGAGGAGGGAGGGGAGGAGGGTGTGAAGGGAGGAGGGAGGGGAGAAGGGAATGAAGGGAGGAGGGAGGGGAGGGAGTGAAGGGAGGAGGGAGGGGAGGAGGGAGTGAAGGGAGGAGGGAGGGGAGGAGGGAGTGAAGGGAGGAGGGAGGGGAGGAGGGAGTGAAGGGAGGAAGGAGGGGAGAAGGGAGTGAAGGGAGGAGGGAAGGGAGGAGGGAGTGAAGGGAGGAGGGAGGGGAGGAGGGAGTGAAGGGAGGAGGGAGGGGAGGAGGGAGTGAAGGGAGGAAGGAGGGGAGAAGAGAGTGAAGGGAGGAAGGAGGGGAGGAGGGTGTGAAGGGAGGAGGAAGGGGAGAAGGGAGTGAAGGGAGGAGGGAGTGAAGGGAGGAGGGAGGGGAGGGAGAAGTGAAGGAGGAGGGAGGGGAGAGAGGAGGGAGTGAAGGGAGGAGGGTGAACGGGAAAATAGGGCTTTATACCTGTTCCTTTCCTCCACTGACTGCAGGGGCTGCAGGAGTCTTGGGTCCAGGCCAAGGTTTCAAGGGCCTGGCTGGACCTGGACGGGGGTGGGGATTTTAAGGGTATTGGCAGGAGAAAGGGATACATTCTTATGTTCAAGGACAGTGATCCAGCCCAGGGAACGCCCTGACCCCCTGGGGCTAGGTGCAGACCCTGGGTCGGAACTTTGCAGGTCAGGGGATGGGCAGAGGTCGGGCTCCCACCCAGAGTGGAGCCTGATACCTGCCCAGGCCCCAGCACCCCATGACCCCGCCGCCTGATCCTTGCCTGGCTGAGACGGGGCTTCTGAACGCTGCTGGCACCAGGGCAGGCAGCGGATTGAGTCCAATTTATTCTGTAATGAGAAATTTCTCCCCGCATATTTTTAGCTTGTTCCCGGTGTCTCGGCCTTTGAAGGCTGAGGGGCTGCGGGACGCCGAGCCCAAGCCCTGTGGGCTGGCCCCGTGGGCAGTGGGCAGAGAGTGCTGGGCATAGGCTGGGGGCCAGCGCTGGGCTGGGGCAGACCCGGGGCCCAGAAGTGCAGTGCAGGGGACAGGACCAGACCTTATCCGGCCCTGTCCTGGCTCCGGACCTGAGGCTGATGGCAACCCTGGATAACCCCTGACCTTGGCTGACCCCTGTCCCCAGAGTGAGCCTGACCTCGGACCCTTGGCTCCACAGGAAGCTGACTCTAGAGTGATCTCCGGCACAGCCGAGTTCCAAAGCTGGGACAGCCCCAGCCTCGGGAGGGGACAGGGCTTCTTGTACCCCCCCAGCAGCCCCCCCGGCTGGGCAGGGGTTCCCCAGGGCAGCCTGGCTTGAAGCCAGGCCTCGGAGCTGCCCTGCCCTCCCCTCCCCTCCCCAGGCCCTTCCTCTAGGAGCGGCCAGCGGGCGCGGGGAGGTTGAATGGGGGACTCACCGCCTTTGTTCCCGTCCCTGCTTGGGCTCTGACCTTGAGAGAGAGACAAGAACAGAAGGAAAACGGAGCTTCTGCTCAAATCCGCTCAGCGGTGGCGGTGGCGGCAGCTCTCACCTCGGTGGCCCCTGCATGCAAATGAGTGGCCCTGCCGTGCCCGGGCGGAGGTGGTGCCCTCCAGTTTGCACCTGTGCAGGTCCCCGTCCTGGTGTGAGAAGAGACCCCTCCTCCCGACCCTAGCCCACTCCTCCCCACCCATGAGATTCCTCGAAGCAGGAAGGGGCTTCTGGTCCCGGGGCAGAGGGAAGCTTCTAGAACTCCCATCTTTGCCAGGTGGCATGCTGGGGCCGGGAACGCCAAGACCCCAGGCTTGTCGCCCCTCGTCCTGTGCTTGGGTGCAGCCACCGCACCTCTACCCCGAAGGTGCTCGCCTCCGGGAGTGGCTGCCCCCTATTTTCCCAAAGAGCCCAACCAGACCGAGCTGCCTAGATGCTTGTGCAGCCTGCCTGGGCCGGAAGAGCCCTGTGTGGCTAGAACCCCAGGCCCTCACTCCAGGGGTGCCAAGAGAGTCTGTGCAGGGGTCCTGGCGGGGGACTGGGGCCTGCCTCAGCCACCATCTTGAGCAGGTTTCCGCCCTACACTGAAGACACCTGCCCAGCCCTGGGCCTCCAACCAGGGATGTCTGTGGTGGACCAGACCCGGAGCTTAGAACAGACGGGCCGAGCTCCCTGGAGGGCAGAGGACTGAAAGCCTGGTCCTGGCAGGGATGCTAGAGTGCTGGGGGGTGCGGGGAACAGACCTTCCTGGAAGAGCGGGGTTCAAACAGGAAGAAAAAATGGACTTCCTTTTTTTTTTTTGACAGAGTTTTGCTTGCTACCCAGGCTGGAGTGCGATGGCGCGATCTCGGCTCACCGCAACCTGCGCCTCCTGGTTTCAGGCAATTCTCCTGCCTCAGCCTCCCGAGTAGCTGGGATTACAGGCACGCGCCACCATGCCCGGCTAATTTTTTGTATTTTTAGTAGAGATGGGGTTTCACCATGTTGACCAGGATGGTCTTGATCTCTTGACCTCGTGATCCACCTGCCTCGGCCTCCCAAAGTGCTGGGATGACAGGCTTGAGCCACCGCACCTGGCCCTAAAAGTGGGCTTCCCAACAGGATTCAGCCTGAACAAAGGTCGGGTGACGTGGCCTGTGGGAAGGCGCGGGAGGGGGCCCTGCAGGAGACACATGACATCTCAGAGCTGTGCGGTGGTTCGGGGTCCCGTCTCCACGCCATCTTGCTGGGGCACAGGTCGGCTGCCCACCTTGGCTCTTACTTTCCTTGCAGGGAGTTTGGGTAACACCTCACACAGGGCCTTCTGGTCCACCAGCTGTTGGCTCCTGCACTGGGTTCCCTCTCCTGCACTGGCCCTGGCAAATGTAACCGACCCGAGAGGTACAACGTGGGCATCGCTGGCAGAGTCCAGCAGGCACTTGGTGACAGCGTACCCTCCACACGCGCAGAGTCTGCTGAGGGAGGCTGTGGCATGAAAAAAGGCAAAACCCAGGGCAGGCCAGGTGCAGTGGCTCATGCCTGTAACCCGGCACCTCAGGAGGCCCAGGTGGGAGGATCACCTGAGCCCAGGACTTCAAGTCCAGCTGGCCAATGTGGCCAGACCCTGTTTCCATTTATATATTGGGGAAAAAAATAGAGGCCGGGCCCCCAGTTCTCCGCCTGCGACAGCCTCCGGGGAGGAGTGATCACTCGGTTCCCGGAACAGATCAGACCCCGGCCTTTGCACAAGCTATGGGTGCTGCCCGGGCACCTTTTCCGTCCTCCCCAGCCTGCAGGATTCCTGCCTGAAGACTGATCTGCTCCGGCTGGGCGCGGTGGCTCACGCCTGTAATCCAAGCACTTTGGAGGCCAAGGCGGGCGGATCACCTGAGGTCGGGAGTTCAAGACCAGCCTGACCAACATGGCGAAACCCCGTCTTAAAAAAAAAAAAATAAGACTGATCGGCCTGGGCTTCACTCCGGGCTTCTTGGATCTCATCCCCAGCTGCTCAGACTCAACACCGGTCTGCCCACTATGCGGCCGGCACCCTTAGCGCCCCGGCAGGGACTCCGTCCCCAGGGAACAGCGCGGGTCCGGACAGGGGAAGCGACTCCCAGGAGGGCCCCGGAGAGGCCAAAGCCCCAGAAGTCTGGACTTCAGCGGGGCGGCTCCAAAACTCTGCCCGGGCCCCCGCCGGGAGGGAGGCCGGAGCTGGCGGAGCCCGACGTGGGACGTGTGCAGCGGGGTTGGTGAGGCCGCGGGTAGTGCTGGAACCGGGCAGGTGGGAGGGCCAGGGACGCGGGGCCAGGCGGGCCGCGTGGAGCGCGTGGAGCGCGTGGAGGCGCCGGAGGCAGGGTGCGTCCCCGCCCCTCGGAGACCCGAGACCCGCTGAGGCCGGCGCTGGGCGCGCAGAACGGGGGTCGCTGGGGCAGGACCCGGGGGAGGCGGCAGCCCCGCGCGCGCGGATGAGCCTGACACGGGGTGGGCCGGGGCCGGGGCGGGCGGAGGCTGGAGACCCCCGCCCAGTCCCCGCGCGGCCGGGGCACGGCGGGAGGGGGCGCCCGCGGCCCTCCCGGCGCTCGGGCGGGACAAAGGCCGGAGCCCGGGCCCCTCCCCGGCGGCTGCGGCGGCGGCGGCGGCCCGCGCTCCGAGAGCCCGCGCGGCCGGGTCCCGCGCCCGGGCGACCCCGGCGCCCCGCCCCGCCGCCGCCTGACTTCTCGGCGCCCGAGGTCGCGCGCGCGGAGGCGGGGGCGGCCGGGGATCTCCAAGCGCCGCCGCGCCCTCCTCCCGCCCGCCCTCCGCCCGCCCGCTCGGCGGCGGCGGAGGAGGCGGAGACGGCTGGCAGGCGGCGGCCCGGAGAGCGAGCGCGGCGGCCGGACCGGGGCCATGGCGCCCGCGCAGCGCCCGCTGCTGCCGCTGTTGCTTGCTGCTGCTGCCGCTGCCGCCCGCCGCCGCCCTTCGCGCGCGCCGAGGACGCCGCCCGCGCCAACTCGGACCGCTACGCCGTCTACTGGAACCGCAGCAACCCCAGGTGAGCGCGGCCGCGCGCGGGGGACGCCCGGGAACCCCCGACGCCCCCCACGCCGCGCCCGGCCTCGCGCCCCCGAGGTCCGGGCACCCCCCGCGCGCACCGCCGCGGGGATGCGGGCCCGCCCGGTTCCCGCGGGAGCCCCCCCCAGGGAGTTCCGGCCCCCCGGAGTTTGGGGGACTCGCCGTTTCCGCGCCTGTCTGCCCCGGGGCACCCCACTCCCCTGCGGACTTGGGGGACGTGCGCCCCACATCCCCCAGAGTGCCGACGTCTCCTGGAGTTTGGGGAACCCCTCTTACACCCTCTGATGCCGGGCAACCCCTGAGTTGCCCGCCGGGACTCGGGGGGTTCCCCAATCCACGCGCCTCTCTGGGGAGTCCCCTTGGTGTCTCATTTGGTGGGGATCCCCGGGGACCTTGGCACTGTGGTGGGGACTGTGGCCCTCGGGGCGAGGGATCTGTGGGTGCGTCCTGCCCGCAGGTCCCCAGATGAACTTGGGGAAGTTGGAGTGTCCCTCCCTCGGGACCCAGCATCTGCTTCACTCCAGGGTGCCAAGGGCCCAGCTCTGAAAGGAGACTGAGGGGCCGGGGAGCTGGGAGTCAGCCCCGGGAGGCGCAGTGGGATGGAGTGCTCTCCCATCCTCTTGGTGCTGACCGGGAAACTGAGGTGCAGAGGGGATGAGGGGCCGGCTCAAGGTCATGCGAGGAGGGGAGTCAGGGCGGGACCCAGGTGGCCTGGTGCCCTGCCTGCCACGCCCGGCCAGGATGCCCCACCGGCCTGCCACAGACCCCCAGGTTTTGAGCCAGGTCCGGGCCAGGCACAGTGTCGGGGACAGGCGAAGCCCCCGTTGGTCAGGGCGAGAAAAGTTTGCTGGGGCCTGGCCATGGCCTGGACATTGCCAGAACTCTGGGAGCCATCCCGGGGTCTCCAAGGCTGCTGCTTGCCTGGGGGTCCCGTGGGAGCTTTTCAGGTCCTGGGGCTCAGGACTCAGTCGGCCCAGCACTCAGGGTGTCTTGGTCTCCCCAAGGCGGGCAGAGCTGCACGTGGGGGTCCGAGGTGGCCTGCTTGCTCCTCTGCCACTGGTCACTTTCTCTCCATTTCCAGCCGCTTCTTCTGCCGACCCTGCCGCCCTTTGGAGCCCGACATCCCTCCTTGTCCCCGCTGTCTCCTGCTGTCCCCAGTCCCCGGGAGGAAAGTTGCATGAAGGGGCCTCTTTGAGGCAGGCTCGGGGACAAGGGCGGCCCGTGTTCCGCCTTGGGGGTGGGGAGCAGGCACAGGCCCACCCCCACCAGGATTGACTGCCTCGGGGTCGGGCCCCTGGGGGCTGAGGGCAGGGACCCCGGGCTGCTGGGGGACGGCTGGCCCACCTCAGAGCCGGTCCCCACACCACCCGCTGTGCTGGTCACATGTGGGTTTGATTAAGGCTGTCGCTGGCCCTTAGGGGAGCCCAGCGGGCAGCGCTTCCCCGGCCCAAGTTTTTGGTTTCAGCTGCGGAATCTCCATCCCCAGCGTGGCCTGTCCTTTGTTCTGGCAAACGCCAAACACAGGAGGACCCGGGAGCCGGGGAGGAAGGGGGTCACCAGGGCCGTCCTGCTGCCCCACCTGCCACTGGGCTGTGGGCTGCCGGCAGGACCCCCAGCCAGGGGAAGGAAGTGGCCTCCCCAGCGCCTGGCCACCTCCTGTTGCTCTGGGTCTGACCTGACAGCCCAGCTCAGACCACTGCCTGAGGAGACGTCCTTACCGGTCTGCAGAGCGGGCCTGGGCAGCACGAGCTTCGTCCTCCTTTCTCTCCTGCCTGGGGTGTCCAGGGTTGCTGGGGACCGAGCCGACACCCAGCAGTGTGGCCCAGCGCTGGGTCAGCACCTTGCCTGGGAAGCCGGGATCGGCCAGAATCCTGGCTCCATCGCCGACATGGGGACCTCTGCAGCCCTCAGATCTGGTGTCCGGGCACCTGCTCAGGACCTGTGCCTAGGTGGCAGGGGTGGCAGGCATGGCAGGGGGTGACGCTGGGCCTCCGTATCCAAGGGGACCCCGTGGAGGGGACGTCGGCCTGTGGAGAGGAGCGGCGTCGGCCGGCAGGCCTAAGGCATGAGGCTGGGCTGACTGGGGAGGGATGGTGGGGTTGGGCAGATGTGTAGGAAAGTCGGGGACCCTGAGTCTTTGAGAGGGGTACGCAGAAAGGCACTGGGAGACGGGGCTGGGGGAGGGGGCCTCCGGGGGCAGACAGCAGCATGGGCACCATGGGACCGCGAGCTCGATGGGACCCGCAGGTCTGGACAGCGCCACAGCATGGCCGGCCGCCCCTTCTGCCCCCCGGCCTGGCACCTGTGCCCAGCTATGACCATGTGGTCTGTCTGCAAATCACACCCTCCCTCTTGTGAGATGCGTTGCCTGCACCCGCAGCGGAAGTCGCCCAGGGGGCCCGGCACCCACCTCCCTGGGCCGCTATAAGGTGGGGCCCCGTTGGGTGGTCTGGCCAGCCAGCCCCACCACCCCCACTGCTGACTGCACAGCGTCTGTCCGACCTAGCCCCAATCTGGGCACCCCTGAGCTGGCCGCTGGGCATCTCTGGGCCTGTCTCCAGCTGGGCCACATTGGGATGGGGCATCTGGGGCTTGGACCTGGCCTGGCTGCCCTCATCTGGCCTGGCCACGGCACTGCCTGAACATTTCCACGGCTCCTTGTGTGTGTTCGCGTGGGGGGCGCAGGTGCGCCCTGGAGTCGCATCCACGTGGCTGCGTGTGGCTGGCGTGTTCTCATGCATGGCACACACATGTCCTGGGAGGTGCCTGTCTGTATGTGGGGTGCACACACGTGTCTGTGTGGCAGAAGGCTGCGTGAACCTACAGGGCACAGCTCTGGTGCATTTGCACACGTCAGTTCTGTGACTGCATGTGACGTGCGGGTGTGTGTGTGAGTGTGCCCGTGCACGGAGCATCTGCAGTGTCCGAGACCCTGTGCCCGTCTGCATGTACCATGCATGCATTTTGTCTGTGCGTGGAACGCAGGCGAGTGTGTGTGTCTGTGTGGGGTGCGTGTAAGCGTGTCTGCCTGGGGCAGCTCTGGCCTTCCTAGGGCCTGCAATATGGGCGCAGTGGTGGCCCCAGCACCATGCGCACCGGCGACTCCACTGCTGGCCCTCCCTCTCCTCCTTCCCTGGGGACGGGACCAGGGCCTGTGTGCAGACAGCCATCGAGCCTCAGAATGGGGTGGATGCAGGGCCTGTGTGCAGACAGCCATCGAGCCTCAGAATGGGGTGGGTGCAGGGACTGGGGTCCCCGGGAGTCTCCATCTTCTGATTGAAAATCTGCAGCCCATGTTGACCTGGGCTGGGGCACTGGGTGGGCAGGTACCCACCCTGGGCATCTCTGGGCTTTGGCCACCCTCCTGGGGTTCCCCACGGACCCTCGGGTATGGGCAGCAGCTGGGCTCCCTTCAAACACCAGATGGAAAATGGCGACCTACGTAGGGGCCTGGTCCCGAGGGAGGAGCCGTCCCCCGGCAGAGGACAGAGGTGAATGGGTGTCCCGCTCCCCGTGGCTCCGAGGAGTCCCTCGGTCTCTGGGGGACCAGCTTTGAAGGGGGCGATGCCGTGTTTTGCTGCATGAGGGTTTTTTGTTTTCTGTGAGAGAAGCTGGTGCGCTTGGCTGGGGGATTTCAGGCCGTGGGGTGCCTGGACTTGGACTCAGGGGTCTGGGAGGCCTGGGCGTGATATCGGGCCGGTGGCTTGGCAGCCTGGAGTCCCCAGGCCTGCTCCGTGGAGTGGGGGTGACTGGGAGCCCGGCAGGGGGGTGCAGCTCAGCCGAGGATGGGTAAAGGCCCGAGGGTGGTCCCAGGGGTTTAGTATCCTCTCTCCACGGGGGGATCGGAGGCAGCTCCTGTGGTGGAGGATGTTCCCGCCCGAGGCGCCGGGGTCTCTGTCTCACGGTCTCTCCGGGTCTCTGTCTAACCGCGTCTCTGGGCGTCCTGGGTGCGATGGGCGGCCCAGGCCTTCTGCCTCCACCGAGGACCTCCCTGGGATGCTCAGTCTGCAATGAGGGACGGGGGCTCCATGGCGGGGTCCATGAGAGCAGTGGGCTTTGACCTCTCCCCGTGTCCGGGCTGCCGTCTCCGCAGGTCGGCAGGGGACCGGCCCTACGTGGGTCCCTCGGGGTCCCAGCAGAGGCAGCGGGTCATGCATTCATGGGGGTTTGGGTGGCAGCGTTTGTGTGGAGCTGGTGGTTTCCTTGTCATATGTGAGGGTCCTGCTCCGGTGGCCATATGTTCCCGGGGACTCGGCTTCTCTCCTCCTCGGGAACCAAGATGCCGCCATCCTCGCCCCACGGTCCTGTGTGTGGAAATGGCCTCTTTTGCTGATGGGTCCCCAGGGAGAGCTGGGCTTTGTCCCCTGCTCAGGGAAGGGCTGAGCTGCTCCTGTCCCTGTGCCCACCGTGCTGCCGCCCCAGACACTAGCCCGGGAGACCGAGGAGGAGCAGACGCACCGGCGGAGTTTTTGAACCTCAAGCAGCCGTTTGAACTCTGTGGCTGAGCTGGCCCTGGTCGGGGGCTCATGCCATGCCTGATCCTGGAATGGGCTGTCGTGGGGTCTGGCTGGGAGACTCAGCAGCGGCCCCCCCAGCTCTGTTTCCCCCTCACCCCCCTCCTTGTGGGTCAGGGGCCCCCACTTCACAGACAGCAGCCGAGGGCCTGAGAGATGGTAACTCCCCCAAGGCCACCTGGAAATCGGGCACAGTCCAGGGTGTCCACACCTGGGGCTGGCCTTGGGGGAGCCAGGCACAGCCCTGGGAGGGGTGGGACGGTGGGTAGCCAATGCCAGCTGGGCCCGCTGCACTCTGTACCCAGAATACTCTGTCCCCACACCCACAGTGTTGGAGGCCCATGTGGGGCCGATTTTGCCCAGCCCATCTTTCCCTCCGCTTGCTTATTTCCTCTTTTGCTTCATTTCTAGGGCCCTACCTCAGTTTACCCTCCTGCACCACAAGGCCATATTTGTCCTTTCTCAGGCGGACCCTGCACCATCCTGGGGACTAATTTCCCTTCGGGCCCCACCCAGGTCCTGGGCAGGAGGAAAAGCGCCAGCCCTCAGTCAGGGGAGACGTCTCTTCGTGCCCTGGAGGAGCCAGGTGTGGGTGCTGGGGTGGGTGCTGTCATCCCAGCGGGTCTTAGTTGGGGCGGCCTCAGGACCCAGGCTGCTCGCTTATCTGGCCGGCCTGGGCCTCCCCGGGAGTCTCTCGACCCTGGAAGAGAGATGGGGACGGGTGTGGGCACCCACCTGCCCACCCACAGGGCCCTGGCTGCCAGCCACACCACTGCCTCAGTTTCCATTCATAGAAGGCCGCCCAGCCCACCCCCACCCCAGGTTTGGGTGAGATTCCTAATTGGTGGCTTAGCTATTAGCATCTAATGAGTTGACAATTGCCGGATTGGAGCTAATTAGCTCCAGGCCGCCTGCTGGAAGGGGCGACAGCCTCAGAGGCCAGTGAGCAAGAGGGGAGCTCCGCTGGGTGAGGCTTGGCCTGGGGCCTGGAGGGCTGCCTGGAGGTGTGGACTTTGGCTCCTCTTGGCAGGTTGAGCAAGCTTGGGGGGGAGGGGGAAGGTGTGGCCCGCCAGAGGGAACCTGGAGGAGTAAAAGCTGCCACTGCTCTGTCTGGGAAAAATCCCAAATCAGTCATTAACCCCTTAGTGAGAATTTCAATCTCTCTCTGCGGCTCCCAGGGAGGATTTGCATATCGAGGCCTCGTCACTCGCGGAAGAAGTGAAGGCTTTGTCTGCCTCTCCCCAGGCACGGTTTTGGGGTGGGGGCCCCTTCCCCCCAGCAGGCGCCACCCTGAACAGGGCCAAGGCGCCCGCCACGGCTCACCCGCCAACTTGGAACAGGGAATGCCAACACAGCACGGCTGCCACTATTTTAGAGACGCAAAGGGAAATGGCCCCACTTCGGCAGCCAGAGCTGGGGACGGGGGTTCCCCTGGGACCTGCCTCTCACACGCACCTGGGGGCTGCTCCCCACAACTCCAGCACCCCGATGTCCTTGCCTCTTGACCTTTTTAATTCACTCATTCAGGCAAGAAACAGATACCAAGTGCCACCGTCTGCAGGGGCCATGCAGGGTCCTGGGGAAGGGACAGAGGCGGTCAACCTCAGAATCGGATTTTCAGACAGCAAACCCTGTAGAGGAATGGATGAGGTCTGCGGCGGGGCACAGGGAACAGCATTGCAGGCAGTGGGAACAGCACATGCAAAGGGCATGGGTGGGAACAGGGGCAGCCGGGAGGCTGGCGTGGCCCGAAGGGAAGCATCTTGGGTGAAGGAGGACAAGGAGGTGGAGCGGACGGACCTCACAGGCCTGGAGGGGTGTGGATTTTATTCTGAGGATCAGGAGCGGATGGAGGGGTTTGAGCCACTGCAGACGCGTTACAGGGTCTGATTTGCATTCAGAAGAGCGAGCTTGGGATTTGGGGAGGCTGGGCCCTGCTGGACCCTCGTGGAAGCCTGGAGAGGCCTGGGCACCCGGCTGCTCAGCCCACACAGAAGCCTCGGTCTCTGATGTTTTACCGAAGGCAAAATGGGAGGAGAGAACACGGTGGTGTCACACTCAGGGGAAGGAGGGAGGCACCAACCAGGGACCAACAGGCTGGAGTTGGAGGCACAGGGCTGGTGCCGCGGGCCCACCTTTCGAGGCCGCTCTGTCTCCAGAAGCATCCTGCTAGGAGCCAGGTGCCCGTTTTTGGGGGGCTGAATGTGGTTCCCTAGGCATCATGGCCAGGACAGGAAGAGAAACTGAGGCCAGAGGGTGGCGGGCAGCCCAGGCCTCCCTGTGGTTCCCCCACGGAGGCCTCCCTTGCGGGGTGGCCTGGGTGTGGGCAGTCCCAGGTGGGAGCTGGGCCTTGGCGGCCATCGACGGCCTGATCAATGGGCTTTCGCTCAGGCTGGGCAGGAACGAAAATGACTTTTCAAAAAGGCTGGAGCCGTTTCTGCATCGATCGTGCCCAAGGGGCCATCGGGTCAATGAGACGCCTGTGCCCGGCAGCCAATGGGGCAGCCCGAGGGGTGGGCTGAGGCCACGCTCGTCCCTGTCTGAGCCTGTCTGAGGGCTGCCCCCGTATGTGTGTGGACACGCCCCGAGTATCCAACAGCTGGGAGACCCATCTGGGCTCAAATCCAGACCCAAGCCCAGTACTGCAAGGCTTGAGGCCCCAGACGGGCCCCTGCCTCTCAAGCCTGGCGCCTGAGGGAGATTCCCCTGCCACACGTCCTCCCACCGCCCTCTGTGCTGGGCTCACGGGGGTGATGGAGGAGGCTGGGTGAGCTCTCTGTCCCTGGATGGATGCAGACAGGTAGGGAAAGGTGACTTCCCCACCTCCGACTCCTGCCTTGGAATTCTTTGCTCTGGACTGGGTGCGGTGGCTCGCGCCTGTAATCCCAGCACTTTCGGAGGCTGAGGCGGGCGGATCACCTGAGGTCAGGAGTTTGAGACCGGCCTGGCAAACGTGGTGAAACCCCGTCTCTACTAAAATACAAAATTGGCTGGGCATGGTGGTGATCCCAGCTACTCGGGAGGCTGAGGCAGGAGAATTGCTTGAACCTGGGAGGCGGAGGTTGCGGTGAGCCAAGATCGTGCCTTTGCACTCCAGCCTGGGTAACAAGAGTGAAATTTGGTTTCAAAAAAAGAAAAAAGAAATTCTTTGTTCTGGAGATCTTCATGTCGGATTTCCCAGTTGGGAAACTGAGGCACAAGGGAGCAGGCCTGCCTTCTCACCCCTGGAGACCCGGAACCCTCGGCCCTGCCTGGCGCAGCATCTCGGGGTGGCAGGGGCTGCGCTGTTGCCATCTGATAATCACGTCGCCCTCTCGAGAGCTGCTGTGCCAATTAGTGCACCCAGCATGGGGCTCCAGTGGGCTCCCCTCTGCAGGCCGGGGTGGTGACAACTGTGCCCAGCTCAGAGGGAGTGCCAGGGCCAGGATTGGAGTAGCCTGCGTCCCACATGCTGCCAACTCTGGTAGGGCCTCAGTTTCCCAGCCTGTGCAGGGAGGGAGGAGGCAGGAGCGGTGTGGGGGACCCCCATCCCTCCCTGCTCAGATCTTTTATGTGCTAATAACCCCTTTCAGGGGCCCCATGGTGCCCTGCTTGACCGGGCCGCCAGTTACATGACAGGGACCCTGGGGACCACAGCCCGGAGATCTAAGGGCTCCTGCCACCATCGCCCGAGGCAGTGAGGGAAGGGGAGCCTCTGGTCTCTCCCTCAGCTGACCTCTATCCTCACAGAGACCGGGTCAGGGGGGCTCCCTGGAGGAAGGGGCCTGTGGGCTTCATCTTTGACCTCAGGGCAAACGCCTGGAGGCAGGGTTAGGGAGCTGAGGTGTCAGGAGTGCAGGCACCCAGGAGGGAGGCCAGAAGGCTGCCGGATTCTGGCGCTTGGGAGGTTTCAGGGTTCCGGATTCGAGGAGGTGGCCTGGGGCTCACAGGGTCACACAGGACGGCAGGGATGGAGCTGGGCATGGAACCCAGGATGCCTTTGAGCTGGGCAGCGGGTGGAACTCTGGAGGGCTGAGAGGGGAAGGTGGAGGCATTCTTCTTACCGAGCCCCGTTCTCTTTGGGGAAACTGAGGCCAGGGTAGGGGCAGAGTTTGCCCCAGAGCGAGCTGGAACACCCTGCCTCTGTCCCCCATGCTGCCCTGGTCCTTCTCAATAGGCGAGAGTGCATTAGGAAAAGCAGGCGTAGGGGCTGCCTGGAGGAGGTGGTACAGATGTGAAGCATGTTAGGTAGATGTGAAGTTTCTGGAGAGGGAATTCCGGAGTCAGGAACCCCCCACGGGCCCTTTGCATACAGAGGTCCAGATGTCACCCGCCTGGACACCCACCTTGCACAAGGCACAAGGTGGGGGCAGTGCCAGACAAGAGGCTGTGGGCTCTCAACCTTGGGGTCTGCCATGAGCTGGGTGTGCATCTCCACCTGCTGACCGGAGTCCCCATTTGGGGCCCCAGCCAAGTCCACCTCGAGAACTGACGCCTCCCCCAATCCCCAGCCTGACTTCCCTGTGCACCTGTCCCCTGACCCTGTCCCCCGTCCCCCTGTCCGCTGATCCTGTCCCTCCCCACACACCCTGACCCGTCGTCCCCTGTCCCCCTGTCCGCTGACCCCGGCCCTCCCCACACACCCTGACCCGTCCCCCGTCCCCCTGTCCCCTGACCCCGGCCCTCCCCACACACCCTGACCCGTCGTCCCCCGTCCCCCTGTCCCCTGACCCCGGCCCTCCCCACACACCCTGACCCGTCGTCCCCCGTCCCCCTGTCCCCTGACCCCGGCCCTCCCCACACACCCTGACCCGTCGTCCCCCGTCCCCCTGTCCCCTGACCCCGGCCCTCCCCACACACCCTGACCCGTCGTCCCCCGTCCCCCTGTCCCCTGACCCCGGCCCTCCCCACACACCCTGACCCGTCGTCCCCCGTCCCCCTGTCCCCTGATCCCCGGCCCTCCCCACACACCCTGACCCGTCGTCCCCGGTCCCCCTGTCCCCTGATCCCGGCCCTCCCCACACACCCTGACCCGTCGTCCCCCGTCCCCCTGTCCCCTGATCCCGGCCCTCCCCACACACCCTGACCCGTCGTCCCCGGTCCCCCTGTCCCCTGATCCCGGCCCTCCCCACACACCCTGACCCGTCGTCCCCCGTCCCCCTGTCCCCTGACCCCGGCCCTCCCCACACACCCTGACCCGTCGTCCCCCGTCCCCCTGTCCCCTAACCCCGGCCCTCCCCACACACCCTGACCCGTCGTCCCCCGTCCCCCTGTCCCCTGATCCCCGGCCCTCCCCACACACCCTGACCCTGTCCCCCGTCCCCCTGTCCCCTGATCCCCGGCCCTCCCCACACACCCTGACCCGTCGTCCCCGGTCCCCCTGTGCCCTGATCCCGGCCCTCCCCACACACCCTGACCCGTCCCCCGTCCCCCTGTCCCCTGATCCCGGCCCTCCCCACACACCCTGACCCGTTCCCCGTTCCCAGCGCTGACCGCTGGCCGCCCCGTGCCCGCAGGTTCCACGCAGGCGCGGGGGACGACGGCGGGGGCTACACGGTGGAGGTGAGCATCAACGACTACCTGGACATCTACTGCCCGCACTACGGGGCGCCGCTGCCGCCGGCCGAGCGCATGGAGCACTACGTGCTGTACATGGTCAACGGCGAGGGCCACGCCTCCTGCGACCACCGCCAGCGCGGCTTCAAGCGCTGGGAGTGCAACCGTCCCGCCGCCCCCGGGGGCCCGCTCAAGTTCTCGGAGAAGTTCCAGCTCTTCACGCCCTTCTCCCTGGGCTTCGAGTTCCGGCCGGGCCACGAGTACTACTACATCTGTGAGTGGGGTCGGGCGGGAGGGGCAGGGGTGGGGCCGGGAGTGGGCGGGGCCGTGGGCGGGGCAGGGGTGGGGCCGGGAGTGGGCGGGGAAGGGGTGGGGCCGGGAGTGGGCGGGGAAGGGGTGGGACCGGTAGTGGGCGGGGCAGGGGTGGGGCTGGGAGCGGGCGGGGCCGTGGAGTAGGAAGGGGCGGCTGGGGCATTGAGTGGGCGGGGCCTCTGAGTAGGGCCTGTGTGGGCGGGGCCTCGGGTGTGGGCGGGGCCGCGGAGTAGGACAGGGGCGGTTGGGGCATTGAGTCGGGGGGGTCTCTGAGTGGGGCCGGGCGCGTGGGTGGGGCCGCGGAGTAGGAAAGGGCGGCCGGGCATTGAGTGGGCGGGGCCTCTGAGTGGGGCTGGGGTCTGGGCGGGGCAGCGGAGTAGGACAGGGGCGGCCTGGTCAGAGGGGGCGGGGCCTCTGAGTGGGGCTGGGGTTGTGGGCGGGGCCGCGGAGTAGGACGGGGTGGCTGGGGCATTGAGAGGGCGGGGCTTCGGTTGCGACCGGGAAGTGGGCGGGGTCACGGGGTGGGGCAGGGGTGGGTGGGGCGCGGTGTGGGCGGAGCATCGGGGCGACACCATTGAGTGGGCGGGGCAGCGGAGTAGGGCAGGGTTGGGCGGGGTGCAGAGTGGGCCGGGGGCAGCGCTGGCCACCATACACCTAGGTGTCAAGTGCAAAATGAACCCACCATCCTCGCAGCAAGCCAAGGCGGCCAGGACTGTACTCGTCCCTCGGTGCAGTTGGGGAAACTGAGGCTCAGAGGGAGGCTGAGGCTGCACCATTGTGACCTCGGGCCTCCAGGTCAGACCACTTGGTGGCTGGGCCAGTAGACCTCCCTCAGTCTCCTGACACCAAGACCAGGGTGCCCGCGCCCCAGCACATTGAGAAGGGAAACTTGGGCAGCCAGGGCCCAGCAGGGGAGGGGAGTGAGGTGGAAGCCACAGCTAGACTGGGTGCTGGGCCTTACCCCTGCAATCCCAGCACTTTGGGAGGCCGAGGAACCAGGATCACTTGAGACCAGGAGTTTGAAACCAGCCTGGACAGCATAAGGAGACCATATCTCTATAAAAACATAAAAACGGCCTGGCGAGGGGCTCACGCCTATAATTCCAGCACTTTGGGAGGCCGTGGCGGGTGGATCACGAGGTCAGGAGATCGAGACCATCCTGGTCAACATGGTGAAACTCCGTCTCTACTAAAAATACAGAAAATTAGCTGGGCATGGTGGCGCGTGCCTGTAATCCCACCTACTCGGGAGGCTGAGGCAGGAGAATTGCCTGAACCCAGGAGGCGGAGGTTGCAGTGAGCCGAGATCGCGCCATTGCACTCCAGCCTGGGTAACAAGAGCGAAACTCTGTCTCAAAAAGAATACGATGAGCCAGGCCTGTGGTCCCAGCTTTTCAGGGGAGCTGAGGTGGGAGGGCTGCTTGTAGTCCATGGACTCTGGTCAGTCCACTGCACTCTAGCCTGGGCGGCAGAGCAAGCCTCTAAAAGAAGAAAAATTCACATCGTGAGGGCAGAGCCCCTGCAGTACCAGCCACACCCGGACTGGGTAAGGGTCTACAGGTCCTCCTGCACCCACCCCCCCATCTCCCTGGGGCCCTTGCCAGGCTGAGACTCTGAGGACGATGGGGTCTTCATCTGAAGGTTAGGTATTGGCAGCCTTGGGGACATTCACATCTGTGGGGCCCCATGGTGGCCTGGGCTGGGTGGGCCAGGCTGACGGACGCTGCCCAGTTCCTGCTGCTCATCAGGGGGTCCCAAGCTGGCCTTTTTCTCCCCATCAAAGGCCAACGGCAGGTGGGGAATGCAGCAGTGCCAGCTGGAGTTCCTGTCCCTCTTGGCCATGGTGTCTGTCATGTTGGCAGGGAATGTGGGGTCCAGGCACTGCCCACCCGAGATGGGGATGAGCTTGTCACACTCGTGACTTCCACTGTGGCGCTGAGGCTGAGGGATCCCTGTGGCATGGGGACTCCGGTTTCTCAGCATCTCAGGGCCCGAGGTATGGGGATTGGGGTGGGGAAGCTAGAGTCTGTGCCCCTCGGCTGCAGGGGGGCCTGTGCCTGGACAGCCACCTCCTGCTGTGTGAAATGACGCTTTCCAAGGCCCCATTGCCTCCTTTCTCTGCTGTACTTGGATTTTTCCCTTTAATTCAGGGAAGAATTGGGTGGGGGAGGGGAGGAAGGTGTTTGAATCAAGACCCCATAATATAAGAAAAATTAGATTTTTCTTTCTGAGACGGCAGTTTCATAAAGATAATTATTGTAATCATTCATCCTATCTCTGTGACGAATGTTATTTTTATTATATGCTTTTAATCTTCATCTTCCAGTGTGAGGGGCTTCTAGGGGGCGGGCAGAGGTGGCGGCCACGAGAGCCAGGCCGGTGGGGGCCCTGGGCTCCACAGGGACAGCAAGAGCACATCCATGTGTGCGCGAATGTGGGCCCTGTTTAATTGTCCATGCATGGGCACAGCCCAGCGTCCCTGGCTTCAGACGTTCTTCTCCCCTTCTCCTGACACTGCCCCCACCACACTCCAGGACGCTTCTGTGGGCCCAGGAGCAGAGGCAGTGATGCTGGAATTTTGGGCCAGATGGAAATAATCTTTCCAGGCCTGATGAGGTGGCTCACACCTGTAATCCCAGCACTTTGGGAGGCTGAGGCCGGCGGATCACCTGGGGTCAGGAGTTCAAGACCAGCCTGGCCAACATGGTGAAACCCCGTCTCTACTAAAAATACAAAAATTAGCTGGGCACGGTGGCGCACGCCTGTAATCCCAGCTATTGGGGAGGCTGAGGCAGGAGAAGCTCTTTAACCCAGGAGGCAGAGGTTGCAGTGACCCGAGATCGTGCCACTGTACTCTAGCCTGGGCGAAAGAGCAAAGTTCCGTCACATGCAAAACAAAAAGGAAAGAGGAAAAACAACAAAAAAACTCCTTCCCAGAGACTCTGCTGTGGTGCCAGGTGAAGCCCGGAGAGAAAGGGAGTGACTGGTCTGTGGGCACTCAGACAGCAGGGATTTGAACCCAGGTCAATCATTTATAAGTCACCTCTTTGCTGATCAGTTGAAAACCAACATATTTTTATTCATTTTCCGACCTCACCTTGTGCTGCCCTCAGGTGAGGCAGAGCAGAACAAAAACACAGACACCCCTAGGCTCTGGGGTCTGGATTGGGCAGAGGGAGAGGTAGGGGGAATGTCCAGGAGACTGCTGGGAAATGGGGGCATTGCGTCTGGGGCTTTGATGTACCATTAGGAGTTTTATGGGTGGCTTTCCACCTGGGGTCACAGTTGATTCACCAAGGTGGGGAAGGGCGTACAGCTCCAGGAGGTCGCAGGTACCAAGAGCCACTTTCCCACTCATCCCATCCCCTCTCTTTTAGCTGCCACGCCTCCCAATGCTGTGGACCGGCCCTGCCTGCGACTGAAGGTGTATGTGCGGCCAACCAGTGAGTGTTCAGGGGGACCGGCAGGATCCTGGCCCCCACTCCTGTGTCCTAAACCCACAGGACCAGTGAGTGCTCAGGGGGACGGGCAGGATCCCGGCTCCCACCCCTGTGTCCTAAACCCACAGGACCAGTGAGTGTTCAGAAGAGCTGCGACAGGGCGCCTTGAGTTGCCCCATCTTGCCCTGCCCTGCCCCGGCCTCAGTTTCCCCATCTTACAAACATGTTAGACCATTGAGAGTGAAGGTTGGCTGAACGCAGTGGCTTACACCTGGTATCCCAGCACCCTGGGAGGCTGAGGTGGGAGAATCGCTCGAGCCCAGGAGGCTGAGACTGCAGTGAGCCAAGATGGAGCCACTGCACTCCAGCCTGGGTGACAGAGTAAGATTCCATCTCTAAAACACAAAACAGGCCGGGTGCGGTGGCTCACGCCTGTAATCCCAGCACTTTGGGAGGCCGAGGCGGGTGGATCATAAGATCAAGAGATCGAGACCATCCTGGCCAACATGGTGAAACCCCGTCTCTACTAAAAATACAAAAATTAGCTGGGCATGGTGGCGCGTGCCTGTAATCCCAGCTACTCGGGAGGCTGAGGCAGGAGAATTGCCTGAACCCAGGAGGCGGAGGTTGCCGTGAGCTGAGATTGTGCCACTGCACTCCAGCCTGGCGCCTGGTGACAAAGTCAAAAGAGTGAAGGTCAAATTCCACAGCCAGGTCCCCACTTGAGGCCATGTGCCTTTGCCCGGAGAGTGGGCATCGGGGGTACCACCAGAAGGGAGGGAGGGCCTGCCCAGTGGGGTGCTGAGCCCATTGTGCAGATGTGCACCCTGAGGCCGGGCGGCATGTGGGGAGCCAAGTGGGGTCCGGGCTGCCGCTGACCGAGCTGTCTCTGCCACCCGCAGATGAGACCCTGTACGAGGCTCCTGAGCCCATCTTCACCAGCAATAACTCCTGTGGCAGCCTGGGTGGCTGCCGCCTCTTCCTCAGCACCGTCCCTGTGCTCTGGACCCTCCTGGGCTCCTAGTCCCAGCCCCGCAGGACGCCGGCCCTGCTGGACGGCCCCTCCTGGACCGCCTGACCTCGGCCCTCCGGACTGGCCCTGTGGCCCCTGCCTCCGAGACCAAATAGAGACGCTGCTTCTCCCTCGACTGGTGCTGCCCCCTCCGGGCAGGGGCCGGCCACCCGCCCCAGGACCAGCCCTCAGGGAGGGGACGGCCGAGAGCCCCCCGAGGCCCAGGGGCTGGGGTGTTGCTGGAGCCCCGGGCCAAGCCATCTCTTCTGGGACTACGGACAACCCGGGAACCTCTTGGCGATTTTTTTTTTTTTTAAGTGTATTTTTCATGGTTGGATCAAAAACACTTGAGTTTTTAATTTAAATTATTCCCTGCCGTTCAGGGGGGCGGGGTCCCTGTGCCCCAGCCTGGGGGAGGGGAACTCAGAACTTGGAACACGGGGTCAGGGACACAGCTGCTCCTCTCTGCTCTGCACCCCACTTTTGGGGCTCTGGCTGCAGCCCACCATGGAGGCCCCAGTTGCTCCAGGTTGGGTGAGTCTGAGCCGGAAGGGGTGCATGGTGAGTGCCCCTGATTGTTGGGGGGACCTCACACCCCATCGCCCACCCCCGTCCTGCTGGTAATTTCCTCCCAGTCACTGTTTTACCCCGGCGCCCCTCAGAATCACAGCCCCCCGCGTCTTAGAAACCACTTTTCGCGGAGTCAAACGCCCCCCTTCCCATCCCCCCCACCTCACACGGTCCTCCCTGAGGCCTGAGACCTTCTATTCCTGTAAATAGAGCCAGCGAGTGCATACTGTGATCTGATTTTTCATGTATTCCTGAGGACGGACTGGAACGTTTGCTTCCTCAGCCCTTCATAGGGGGTCTTTTATTTTGGTGGGGGGGTGGGCTGGACTTTTAGAGTAGAAACTGCACTTTGCAATAAGCTCGTTTCGTCTGTGAGAGCCCCTCCCTCGACTCTGTGACCTGATAATGTTTCTAAGAAAAAGAGAAAAGGACAAAAGGGAGGAAGCCACTACCAAAAACAGCAAAAATCAACCCCTCCCCGAAGACACTTTAATGAAGGAAGCAACGCATTTATACGGATTTCATATTTTCCCCGCCTTTCCTGACTCTGTGTTTTATATATATTATATATAAATATATATTGTGTACGGCCGCCAGCCGGCGGCTCCAGGCACGCCTGGTGGTGGGGGTGGGCGGAGGGCTTTTGTAGGGGTCGGCGGGGCGGGCCGCGTTGCCAGGCCTGGAGCTGGCGACCGGGCCTCCCCTCTTCCCGTCACAATCAACTTTGGATTCTGTATTTTTTTATAATAAAATGAGTGTAAACCTCAGATGTGCGTGTCTGTATCTGGGGTCCTTGCCCCCACGTGAAGGAGAGTTTTGAATTCCTAACTTGCAGGAGGTTCAGGCCTCTGATTCCAGCACTTTGGGAGGCTGAGGCCGGCGGATCGCTTGAGGTCAGGAGTTTGAAACCAGCCTGGCCAACATGGTGAAACCCCGTCTCTACTAAAAATATTTTTTAAAAAAGGCCGGGCGCGGTGGCTCACGCCTGTAATCGCAGCACTTTGGGAGGCCGAGGCGGGTGGATCACGAGGTCAAGAGATCGAGACCATCCTGGTCCACATGGTGAAACCCCATCTCTACTACTACTACTAATAATAATAATTAAAAAGCCAGGTGAGGCTCATGCCTGTCATCCCAGCTACTCAAGATGCTGAGGCAGGAGAATCGCTTGAACCCGGGAGGTGCAGGTTGCAGTGAGCTGAGCTTGTGCCTTTGCAGTCCAGTCTGGGTGACAGAAAGAGACTGTGTCTCGAAAAAGAAGAAAAAGAAATAGCTGGGCATGGTGGTGCATGACTGTAGATGCAGCTACCTGGGAGGCTGAGGTGAGAGGATGGCTGGAGCCTGGGAGGTGGAGGCCGCAGGGAGCTGTGATCACGCCGCGGCACTCCAGCCTGGGCAACAAAACAAGACCCTGTCTCAGATCATAGTAATAATACTACTAATAATTTAGAGGTGGGTCTGTGGGCTACCAGGGAGAGGGGTGTGGCTTTGGGGTCAGACCTTGGAAGGAGCCTTTTGTGGGGCCTGGATCCTTCATAGCCACCCGTGGGCCTCTAGTTCCCTCCCTGGGAAGTAGGAATGGCCCAGCTAGAGCTGGGAGGGGCGGCTGGGAAGATGGAGGGAGGAGACAGGGCTTGTGTGTGGCTGGCTCCAGAGATGCCACCGGCTGAGCACGGTGGAATCCCGGGCCTCAGGATTTAATCGAATCTTCTGAAACCTCCACTGGCGAGCTCTGCCTTCGAGTGTGACTCAGTTTCCCCACCTGCCCCCAGGCCAGGGCAGGGGCTCTGTCATCTTCTAACCTCTTCACCTTGCAAAAGGCACATCTGTAAGTTCTGGAGTCCCAGGGGCCGTCATGCCAGGCCTGCCCCGATTGAAGAAACTGAGGCACAGAAAGGCGGGGGGGTGACCCGGCCCAGGGGATTGAGGTCTTTGCATCTGGACGATGGCTGCCTGCGTCCCACCCGTGGTGTCGACGGCGTCTCCAGCACAATTAGCCAAGCGGGAGCGTTCCCAGCTAATTAATGCAGCTGTGCTGGACCTGGTGACAGGGGCCGCCTCCTAATGAGGCAGGCCAGGCACAAAGACCCCTGTGTATGCCCCGGCCCGCCCCTGCCCAGCGCCGGGTGGATGCATGGAGGCACAGAGGGCCGGTCGGCCACCGCGCTGAGCACCGTGGGGGAGGCCCCATCATGCCCCCCTCCACCACAGAGGACCCCGAGGCTCGGAGAGGGGTGAGGGTCCCCCCAGCCCACTCACCCCGAGACGCCCAACACAAACATTGCAAGGTGACCACAGGGACGGAGGGGACCGGGGCAGAATGAAATCAGGGATGACGGGAGGCGTCCCAGTGGCTGACTGACGCTCCGACAGAAACACAATAGTGCCCATCCATTTTAAGTGCAATTGCGTGGATTTTAGTGCATTCAGAGACTCGTGCAGCCATCAGCTCGGTCTGATGCCAGAACATTCCATCAGCCCAAAAGGAAGCCTCGTCCCCATCAGCCATCACTCCTCATCCCCTCCCCAGCCCCCCCTCGCACCGACGCCTCCCCTCCTGTCTCTGTGGTTGGGTCTGTCCTGGACATTTCATAGAAACAGGGTCGCTCGTTGTGTGGCATTTTGTATCTGGCGTCTCTCACTGAGCATGACGTCCACAAGGTGCATCCACGCTGTGGCCTGTGTCTGAGCCTTGTTCCTTTTCACGGCTGAGTCGTGTTCCGGTGCGTGGAGGGACCACGCTGTGTTTGTCTGGTCATCTGTCCGTGTGCTCAGGTAGCCTCCACTTTTTAGCTATTAGGGCAATTTTTTTTTTTTTTTTTTTTGAGATGGAGTTTCGCTCTTGTTACCCAGGCTGGAGTGCAATGGCGTGATCTCGGCTCACCGCAACCTCCGCCTCCCGGGTTCAGGCGATTCTCCTGCCTCAGCCTCCCGAGTAGCTGGGATTACAGGCACGCGCCACCACGCCCAGCTAATTTTTTGTATTTTTAGTAGAGACGGGGTTTCACCATGTTGACCAGGATGGTCTCGATCTCTTGACCTCGTGATCCACCCTCCTCGGCCTCCCAAAGTGCTGGGATTACAGGCGTGAGCCACTGCGTTCAGCCCTTAGCTATTATGACAATTAAGAAATATATCATTTATTATTATTGTTTTTTGTAGAGGTGGGGTCTTGCTATATTGTCTGGCCGGTCTCAAACTCTTGGGCTCAAGCGACCCTCCCGCCCTGGCCTCCCGGAGTGCGATTTTGCTGGCGTGGTAGCTCAGTCCTGAAATCTCTACATTTTCAGAGACTATCTCAAAAAAAACAACGTAAAAGCCACGGTTCTTGAGATTACAGAAGTGAACCACCACTCCCAGCCATGACACTTTTTTTAGATTTATTTTTTAACTGTGTAATATTTATGTATTTATTTATTAGAGCTGGGGTCTCACTCTGTCGCCCAGGCTGGAGCACACTGGTGCCATCACGGCTCACTGAAGCCTCTGGCTCCTGGGCTCAAGTGATTTGCCTCCTGCAGCCTCCAAGTAGCTGGCACCACTGGGCACATGGTAACAATCTTCTTGTTTTTGAAACAAAGTTTCAATGCAGAAGGTGACTTTGTTTTTTGGACAATCTTCTTATTTTTGAAACAAAGTTTCAATGCAGAAGGTGACTTTGTTTTTTGGACAATCTTCTTATTTTTGAAACAAAGTTTCAATGCAGAAGGTGACTTTGTTTTTTGGACAATCTTATTTTTGAAACAAAGTTTCAATGCAGAAGGTGACTTTGTTTTTTGTTTTTTGTTTATTGTTTTTGTTTTTTTTTATTTTTTGAGACGGAAGTTTCGCTCTTGTTACCCAGGCCGGAGTGCAATGGCGCAATCTCGGCTCACCGCAACCTCCGCCTCCTGGGTTCAGGCAATTCTCCTGCCTCAGCCTCCCGAGTAGCCGGGATTACAGGCACGCGCCACCATGCCCAGCTAATTTTTGTATTTTTAGTAGAGACGGGGTTTCACCATGTTGACCAGGATGGTCTCGATCTCTTGACCTCGTGATCCACCTGCCTCGGCCTCCGAAAGTGCTGGGAATACGGGTGTGAGCCCCGACGCCCAGCCTGAAAGGTGACTTTGTGTAGATACAGGGAGAATGGCTGAGCTGCTTTCTCCGGGCCTTTGCATGTGCTGTTGCCAGCCTGGTGAGCCTCTATTGCACGCTGCGGCCCTTTCTGACCCAGCTCAGATGTGGCGTGAGCGTCTGGCCAAGCGGCAGTCTGCTGTGGTGCCCTTTGTGAGTCTTTCCTTGCCAGACGCCTCCCCAGGCTGTGGCCCCCAAGGGCAGGGGCCGCTCTGTCCTGGTCATCACCGGAACCAGCACTGACCCAGAGCAGAGAGTCTCCTGGGACCGTGTCACCGGCCACACACAGACGCAAGTGCACGCGTAGCCCTGCGCACGCACCTGCAGGCCTGACACAGGCATTTTGGGCCCGAGCCTCTCAGGAACTTGCGTCTGCTCCAGGGGCTGTGCTGGGATGTCCCTGCTGGGTGTGGGGGCTCCCTGGGCAATCCAATGACCCCTGGGCCCCAACCCCAGCCCCAGCGAGACCCAACGCCGCCTCCCGCCAGCCCTGGAAATGCCATTGGTATTCCCGGCCCGTGCGCAGCCTTTTCCGCCCCAGGGTTCCCGAGGGAAGTCATCTCCCTCCCGCCGGCCGTTACTGCCGCCTCGGTGCCGCCTCGGGCAGGGGGTGGGAGGAGGCTGGTGGGGGAAAGGAGGCCTGAGGCGCCCAAAACCCTGCGTGCAGCTAGGGGTGGAGCCATGCCAGGCCCCCACCTCCGTAGTTCCCCAGGGCAGGACTGTGTCTCCCCCACAGACCTTGGCCAGCTGGGTTTGGAGGACATAGCCCCCAGCCCTCACCACTGAACCTCGGTGTCCCTGTCTAACACCTGCATTTGAGGGAAAAACCCATTGGTCCCCACCCTCTGGTCAGGAGTTCAAGACCAGCCTGACCAACATGGAGAAACCCCGTCTCTACTGGTGAGCCTCTATTGCACGCTGCGGCCCCCTCCGACTAAGCTCGGACGTCGCCTGAGCTGAGTGCAATGGCGCGATCTCAGCTCACCGCAGCCTCCGCCTCCTGGGTTCAGGCCATTCTCCTGCCTCAGCCTCCCGAGTAGCTGGGATTACAGGTGCCCACCACCATACCTGGCTAACTTTTTGTAATTTTAGTAGAGACGGGGTTTCCTTGTATTAACCAGGATGGTCTCCACCTCCCGACCTCAGGTGATCCACCCACCTCAGCCTCCCAAAGGGCTGGGATTCCAGGAGTGAGCCACCGTGCCCGGCCTCTCCCCACCTCTTTGTGGGGTCTTCCTGCAGCCCTGGCTCCTCAGAGAGGCCTCCCGACTCCTGATGTAAGCCTGCACCCAACCTTTTTCCTTGCTTTTTCTTCTTTTCTTTTCAGCATTTATTTTATGTATGTATATATTTATTTATTTTGAGATAGAGTCTCACTCTCTTGCCCAGGCTGGAGTGCAATGGCACAATCTTGGCTCACTGCAACCTCTGAGCCCCCTGCCGGGTTCAAGTAATTCTTGGGTCTCAGCCTCCCGAGTAGCTGGGACTACAGATGCCCGCCACCACACCCGGCTAATTTTTTGTATTTTCAGTAGAGATGGGGTTTTACTGTGTTACCTCCACCTCCCGACCTCAGGTGATCCGCCCACCTCAGCCTCCCAAAGTGCTGGGATAACAGGGGTGAGCCACCGTGCCTGGCCCACCCAGCCTTTATTGAGGGTGGGGTGGGGGGTGGTCAGGGGCCTAAGTGACGGGCATCCTCAGGGTTGGGCCAAGGAGGTGGGTGGGGTAGCCACGGGAGGCTTTGGGGCGGGACCGGAGGCTGGGAATGAGGTGTGGACTTGGTGGGGGGTGCTGTGGGGCCTGAGGCTGCCTGGGAGGCATCCAGAAGCTCCAGGCCCTTCTTTTTGAGACGGGGTCTTGCTCTGTTGTCCAGGCTGGAATGCAGTGGTGTGATCCTGGCTCACTGCAGCCTTCACTTCAAGCGATCCTCCTGCCTCAGCCTCCCAAGTGGCTAGGACCACAGGTGTGCACCACCGTACCTGACTAATTTTTGATTATTTGTCGAGCTGGGGTCTTGCTGTTATTGCCCAGGCTGGTCTCAAACTCCTGGGCTCAAGCGATCCTCCTGCCTCAGCCTCCTAAAATGCTGGGATCACAGGCATGGGCGCCTGGCAAGCTCGGGGCCCTCCTTCCTGCAGGGTCGCCTGGTGGAGCAGAAACCGCAGCCAGCGACGCCCCGTTCATCTGTCCCTGCACATTCTGGGGCTTGGACGGTGGCTTCTGAGTCCAGAACTGCAGGGTCATCTGCTCTGCGCTCGAGGCTGGAACGTCTCAGACCAGATCCCTCCCTCCACAGGCTGAGAGAGGGAGAGACCCTGGCCAGGCCTCCCAGGGGCCTGCCCACCCGGCAGCTCCTGACTCCCCCACCTCATGATCCGGAAATGAAGGGCTTCCGCCCAGGAATGGTCGGTGCGTCCTAATGAACGAAGGTTTCGGGGGGAGGGGTGCTGAGCCACAGGAGACACTCTTCCCAGGGCGGAGGGGGAAACTGAGGCGGCTTCCAGGCTCCACGGGTCACTGGTGTGAACCAACGTGAGCCCCGCCAGCTCTGGAGTTGTATCTGGAGCAGCCCAGGGAGAACGAGGCTGGGGACTCTTCCTTCTGAGGGTCATTAGGGACAGCCCCCCAGGAACCATCCCCGGAACTCCACCAGGCTGTGTCCTCCCCAGCTGGCCTCTCCCCCAGCTTCCACCTCCCTGCCAGGGTTTGGGGCTTACAGCTCCGCCCTGGGTTCAAGTACTGCCTCCCAGCAGAGGCTGTGGGGTGTCCCTTCTGGGTCTGGGGTCCACAATGCCTGTCTGTCTCCCAAGCATGAGAGAAGCTTCTAGAGACAATCTATGAGCATCTTTCAACAGCGTTCCCCGTCCCTGTGTCTCCCCAGCTCACTCTCCGAAGGGAGTGTGGATGGCAGGAGACAGGAGGGAGGCGTGGGGCGAGTTTATCACTCACTGGGCTCTCTCTGCCCCCACCTGGCTGCCCCCTGGGGCTTCTGTGACTTTTTTTTTTTTTTGAGGCCAGGGTGTCCCTCTGTTGCCCAGGCTGAAGTGCAATGGTGCGATCATGGCCACCGCAGCCTCGACCTCCCAGCCTCTAGCAATCCTCCCATCTCAGCCTCCAAGTAGCTGGGACCACAGGCATGCAGCACCATGCTGGCTAACTTTTTTTTTTTTTTTTTGAGATGGAGTTTCGCTCTTGTTACCCAGGCCGGAGTGCAATGGCGCGATCTCGGCTCACCGCAACCTCCGCCTCCTGGGTTCAGGCAATTCTCCTGCCTCAGCCTCCTGAGTAGCTGGGATTACAGGCACGCACCACCATGCCCAGCTAACTTTTTGTATTTGTAGTAGAGACGGGGTTTCACGATGTTGACTGGGATGGTCTCGATCTGCTGACCTCGTGATCCACCCGCCTCGGCCTCCCAGAGTGCTGGGATGACAGGCTTGAGCCACCGCGCCTGGCCTAACTTTTTAATTTTTGTAGAGACGAGGTCTCTCTGTGTTGCCCAGACTGGTCTTGAACTCCTGGCCTCAGGCGATTCTCCCACCTCAGCCTCCTGAGTAGCTGAGACTACACGTATGAGCCGCCACACATGGCTAATTCTTTGTATTTATTTATTTATTTTTGTGAAGATGTGTTTCTTCATGTTGCCCAGGCTGGCCTCCAACTCCTGAGCTCAAGCGATCCTCCCGCCTCGGCCTCCCAAAGTGCCGGGATTACAGGCGTGAGTCACCACACCCAGTCTGAGCAGCGAAGGAAGATGAGGCTGGAGAACAAGGGTGCCCAGACCCTGGGTCCCGCAGCAAGGACCCCATCAGCATCCAGTGGATGGTGGAGGGGAGGCGGCCTGACCACTCCGGACTCCAGCCAGTCGCCCGAGCCTGGCTGAGGAAGAGCTGGGGGCGCCTGGGTGGGCAGTCTCAGCGCCGTTCAGTGCTCGTGGTCCCCTAAGCATCAAAAACCAGAGCCTGTTATGATCTTGCGACGAGGAGGGGCCCAGCCCCTCGCAGGAACCGCCGTCAGCCCCCTCCGCCCACCCACCAGGCTCTGCAGTTACCGTTTGCGATAACCACTCCCCTCTCAGCCCACGTGTTAATGACGGTGGCATCATCCATCAAGCCTGCGGCTGCGGCTTTAGAAGCTCTGTGGCCAGGAGGGGAAACTGAGGCAGAGAGGTTCACCTGGGCCCCTGCGTGAGGCCACAGCTGCAGAAGTCAGATAAGCCCAGGTTCCGGCGCTCCCTCTGCCACCCGCCATTTATGAGGACTGTTCCCTGAGCCTCAGTTTGCTCATCTGGAAAATGGGCTACGGTGACACGGGGTGGGGTCTCAGATCCCGGGGGCTCTTCTTCGTTTTGTTGTGTTTTGTTTTGAGATGGAGTCTCTCTCTGTCGCCCAGGCTGGAGCGCAATGGCACGGTCTCAGCTCACTGCAACCTCCGCCTCCTGGATTCCATTGATTCCCCTGCCTCAGCCTCCCGAGTAGTGGGGCATACAGGTGCCCACCACCACGGCTGGCTAATTTTTGTATTTTTAGTAGAAAGCGCGTTTCACCATGTTGGCCAGGCTGGTCTCTAACTCCTGACCTTGTGATCCTCCCGCCTCGACCTCCCAAAGTGCTGCCATTACAGGCATGAGCCACCGCACCTGGCCTCCTGGGGGTTCTTGATGAACAGAATCAGCAGTCCCCATGGAGATAGGGCCTTTGTAGCCCGATGATGGCGGATCCCGCCCCCCGCCCAACCTTCCCTGTGAGCCCACTGTCCAGAGCAATGCCAGCAAACCCTCAGTGGACGTTTGTTGAATGACTGAATGACTGTGTTGTACAGGGACTGAGTCAAGTGCTCTTTTTGTCAACTGGGCAAGACTGGAGGCCAAAGCCTCATTCTCCATCGTTCACTCCTCCAGGAAGGCCTGGGGGGCAGGGGTGGTGGTGGGGAATGGGCTGTGGCGGGGGGGGGGGGGCAGCAGGGGAACCGCGGGAGTCAGCTGTGCTGGCTGGCAGATCTTTAAATTAAAATACATATATACACCAGATAAATAAACCCGGCGCACATCCTGGTGACAGGCGGAATTAAGTTGCCCAGTTGGGGAGCGGGCTCGGAGGCTGGGGATGGAAGCGGATGGGGCCGAATTACCAAGGGCTGGCGTGCACCCCATAAATATTCCCGAGCCCCCTGGCCAGGTTGGGCGTCCAGGATCTGGCCCAGCTTATACAGAGACCAGCAGCCCATGGGTGCCCTGGGAGCGTCAGTGTCTCTGTCTGGAACAAGGAGACCACGGCCCCCCTCCCAGCGCAGAGACTGCCCTTGACAGTGGACATGCGGCGGACCTGGTTCAAATCCCGGCTGAGCCCTCGAGGGCTGGGAGCAGCCTCCGTCAGGTCGGGTACCAGGGAGACCCCGTCCTGGCACACAGGGAGGCCCCCATGGGGCCTGCACAGCTGCGGGGTCCTCCCTGGCCCCTTCCCTCCAAACGAAGCCCAGGGGAGAGGGGGCGGACGGGGTGGGGGGAGTTTTCAATTACGGAGCAGCTAATCTCCCAGTGAGGGCCGTCTGGGGCCCAGTAAATCTATTATGAAAAGCCTCTAAATGTATGTAAAACCGGCCTCCGACAATCCGGGGATTAGGCCGCAGGGAGGGGAAACCGAGGCGCAGGCCGCCTGGTGGATTAGCGCAGCGGGGCCCCTGGAGGGTTGAGGGAAGCAGTCCCTGGAGGTCCAGGGCAGAGGGAGAGACGTCTTCTGAGGAAGCCAGCACCCATTTTATAGCTGGGGAAACTGAGGCCGGGTCAGGCCCAGACCTGGAGAAAAGAGCCCCCTCTGGGTCCCCTCAAGGCATCAAGGGCATTTTCACCGGCCGTTTCTTCCTTTGCCAAAAACCGAGGGGGATTTTCCTATAAGGTGGCCTCAGTGGGTTTAAAAGATGAGGAGCTGGGGACCCTCGGGCTAAGATCCTGGGACCCCTGGACCCAGCTTAAGGCACCGTGGCCCGGCCCGAAGCTTCTGCCGGCATCTCAGGCCCTTTAAAGCTGCCCCATCCTTTTGTGCTTTTGAAATGTATTTATTAATCACCTTCTGTTTACCAAGCCAGAGGCGGCAAAGGTAACAGGAGAGGGGAGCCCAGAGCCCTGGTCGCAGGGCACTCGCCGAAGATGCGGAAGACACAGGCGGCAGGGACAGGCCTTCCCCAGGGGTGTGGGAAGGAGATGGTCACCCTATGGAAGCACGGCGAGGCCGCTCCAGGCCCAAGGGAAGGCCTGGTGGCCGGAGGGAGGTGTGGCTGGGCTGCTCTGAGGATGGCAAGAGCCCTCTGAGGGTTTTGACAGTGTCCGTGGGGGACCATGGACCCCCACAGCTTCCTCAGCATGGCCCCGAATTCTCCCAGGCCCCCCCCGGGCCTCTTGGGGTACGGCCGGCTCTGCTTCCTGCCCTTGGGGCCCCTGTTCCAGCAATTTTGTCTCCTGGACGCCATCCCCACCTGGATGCTGTCCCCACCTGTTGAAGTCCTTCCAGAAGCCCAGGTGCACGGGAGGATAGGGACGACACCCCTCCTCACCCCCACCTAGCAGAGCTTGCAGGCTGCTCTGCAGATTGCTGGCAGCTGGAGAAACTGAGGCATGAGTTGGGGTGAGGTGGCTCACGCCTATAAGCCCAGTACTTTGGGAGGCCGAGGTGGGTGAATCACCTGAGGTCAGGAGTTCGAGACCAGCCTGGCCAACATGGTGAAACCCCATTTCTACTAAAATATCAAAAATTAGCCGGGCGTAATGGAGGGCGGCTGTCATCCCAGCTACTCAGGAGGCTGAGGCGGGAGAATCGCTTGAACCCTGGAGGCGGAGGTTACAGTGAGCCAAGATCGCGCCATTGGACTCCAGCATTGGCAACAAGAGTGAAACTCCGTCTCAAGAAAAGAGAAGAAAGAAAGAAAGAAAGAAAGAAAGAAAGAAAGAAAGAAAGAAAGAAGGAAGGAAGGAAGGAAGGAAGGAAGGAAGGAAGGAAGGAAGGAAGGAAAGAAAGAAATTGAGGCAAAAGGCGATGGCTGTTTCTGTGGGCCTCAGCAGCACCCCATGGGGCCTTCCCGGGGCCCCTGGCCTGGCCACCAGCGTGTCCCTGCCTCCCAGGTGCCTGGGAATGAAGAGGTGAGTCAGTTCTGAGACTCCTCCAGGCCCAGGCGAGGGGTTGTGCATAGTGCAGCAGGATGGGCCTGTCCCAGTGAGGGTGACCCTGGAGTCCGGGCCTTGATGGGCTTCCTCTGTGACCCAGGAGGGTGTGTGTGCCTCTCTGTGACTCAGTTTCCTTGTCCGTGTCATCGGCAACTGCCAGATGCCATTCCCAGCACTGAGTGGGTGTCGGGGGGCTCCGGGCACCCCTGCCCCACCCGCCCCGGCCGGCCGTCAGTCAGGCTGGCCGGGCCCCCTTCAAGTCGTCACGGCCCAGCAGCAGCCACGAGAGGGATTATTCTGGCCTGTCCAGGGTGGACTGAAGTGGAGCCAAAACTGACGAGCGGAACGCGCCCCGCGGACCCGGCCTGCCCGCCTGCCTTTGTCCGCCGCCAGCCCCCCACCCACCTGCTGTCACGGACCCTGCCTCCCGTGCCTGAGCCCCATTTCTCTGGGGGGCTGGGCTGCATCGAGAGGCCTCCGCCCGGCCAAAGCCCTGCAGCTTCTCAGCCCACTCCGTCCGCTGGCTGCCTCAGTTTCCCCGTCTGCAGCATGGGCACGCAGGGTCCCTCCGGTTGGTCGGCTCCTTGGCGGCTGAATGGGGGCTGTGTGGGCAGAGGCGCCTGGAGGAGGCAGAGGCTTTCCCAGGGTGCTCCGTGGTGCCTCCGCCTGGTCCCTCCATGGAGCCTTTGTCCAGGAAATTTGAGGTGACAGGGAGAACGGATCCGCTCTTGGCCTGAATGGAGCCGCGGCAAATGCTGTTGACCCCTGACCCCGGCCCCCTAATCCCGGGGTCGAGGCTCTCACCAGAGAGGGGCCCTGGGAGATGAGCTGGGGCACGACCCCCGCCCCGGGCACCAAGGGGGGCTTCCGGGTCAGGGTCAGAGGGGCTTTGGGAGGACGCGGCTGCCCCGTTGGCCACGTGTCCGGTCATCACCCCTCGGAGGCCAACACGGGAAACTGAGGTGTGGAGGAACCCTCAGAAGTCCCAGAGCTCTGGGGTGGGAGCCAGGCCTAGCCACCTGCAGGGAGAGAGACAGGGCCGGCAGCTGCCCCTCTCTGTCACCAAGCAGGAACTCTGGGACGTCTGGCTGGTCCTAGAAGGTGAGGCTAGATTCTAAACCTGGAGTCTCCCGGAATCCCTCTGGGTACCCAGCCCCTGTATGCCCCCTGGGAAGGCCCCGGAGCCCCTTGTCTGGAATAGGGAGGGGGGCTTTTCCTCCTGGCCGCCCGCTGCTGCTCTAGATTTACCCACTGTCTTCAGGAGGAAGGAAATGAATGAAGGAAGTAGAAGGAGGTGTCCTCATGGCTGCCAGCTGCATTTAGCCCCCTGTGCCATGTGGCGATTTAGAGGCCTCGGCTGGCAGCATCCACCGCAGATTAAAAGATTCTCCGTCGCAGGCTGGGATGCGCTCACACGCTTGGGCGCCCCTGTGCTCCCCGGTGGCCGTGTGTCTGTTCCACCCTGCCGAGCTGTTCCCCACGATCAATTTCTATTTGGCCTGGTCTCTGCCTCTGCAGCGCAAGCCTCCTCGGGGGCTGGCAGGGGGGAGAGGAGTTACTGGCTTCCGAAGCCCTCCCCCAAGGTCCCTGGGACCCTCGCCTGGTGATGAGAGAGCTCCACTGGGCCGCCTCTTTCCGGGCCTCAGTTTCCCCGGGTTTGGAATGAGGGTGCAGGGCCCAGCAGTGTGGAGCCAGCCTAGTTTTCATCCAACCTCACGCAGCCACCGAACGCCTGACATGTGCCTGACCCTGGGCTGAACCCTGGGGCTCCATGGGGGCTGTGGCAGGCAAACCTGAGGCGGAGGCAGAAGAAGGGGAGGAAAAGCTTTCCTGCAGTGTGGGGAGAGGGAGTGGGGAGGCAGGAGGGGGCTCAGGCTCCCGGAGGAAACAGGTAACTTGGGGCCACAGAGGAGTGTGAACAGCCCAGGCGACAAGACTCCTCCACTGCCAACATTTGTGTATTTATGCTTTTTTTTTTTTGAGACGGAGTTTCGCTCTTGTTACCCAGGCTGGAGTGCGATGGCGCGATCTCGGCTCACCGCAACCTCCGCCTCCTGGGTTCAGGCAATTCTCCTGCCTCAGCCTCCCGAGTAGCTGGGATTACAGGCACGCGCCACCATGCCCAGCTAATTTTTTGTATTTTTAGTAGAGACGGGGTTTCACCATGTTGACCGGGATGGTCTCGATCTCTTGACCTCATGATCCACCCGCCTCGGCCTCCCAAAGTGCTGGGATTACAGGCGTGAGCCACCGCGCCCGGCCTTGTGTATTTATCTTTTGAGACAAGGTCTCACTCTCACTCAGTCTGGAGTGCAGTGGTGCAATCTCGGCTCACTGCAACCTCCACCTTCTGGGTTCAAGTGATTCTCCTGCCTCAGCCTCCTGAATAGCTGGGATCACAGGCGCGCCCGCCCATGCCTGGCTTATTTATCTTTTTTTTCTCTTTTTTTTGGTTTGTGGCCTGGCTTATTTGTGTATTTGTTCATTTATTTATGAGACATTCTTGCTCTGTCACTCAGGCTGGAGTGCAGTGGCACGATGTCAGCTCACTGCAGCCTCGACCTCCGTGGCTCAAGTGAGCCTCCCATCTCAGCCTCCCAAGTAACTGGGACCACAGGTATACTCCACCACGCCCTGCTAATTTATTTATTTATTCAGAGACAGAGTCTCGCTCTGTCACCCAGGCTGGAGTGCAGTGGTGCGATCTCAGCTGACTGCAACCTCCACCTCCCAGGTTCAAGCCATC